GCCAAATAAATAAATAAATAAATAAAATTTATATAAATATATGCATGTATGTTATAAATATAAATATTTATATAAATATGTAAATGTTTAAATTTAATTAAAATATATAAATTTAATAAATTTAACAAATATAATAAATTTAATAAATATATATTTATATTTATATATATTTNGGGGAAACAACTTGAAGAGAGCTGTAAACGTTAAAAACAGATATCCTGTAATTCAGGATTCCTCGGTCTCTGCACTACTGGATATTCTGAGCCAGGTCATTCTCTGTAGTGGTATCTTTCCTGTATATTCTAGGATATTTATAAGGATCCTTGCCCACCACCTACCTCATCCCAGTGTGATAGTGAAAAATGTCTATGGGTGTAACCCCTGGAGGAATTACTCATCCCTGGTTGAGAAGCACAGTTTTAAGTGAATAATATCAAATATATGTAAATCTGTGCTATAATAGCAATTTGTTCAAAAATAATATGACAGACCCTCAGATATGTGAGTATCATAGCCACACTGTGAAATATTATACAGACACTAAAATAATGAAACAGAATTATATTAATTGATTGGAAGCAAGTTCCTAAGGTATTATTGATTTTAATAAATAGAGAGGAACAAACAGCAGAAAAAAAGACCTCACTGAAACATAAAGAATATTTATGAGGTACACAGGATTGTGTTCAAACCTTTGTGCAAACATGTGTGAATTTGTGTAAGTGCATAATTTAGAACAAGAAGATTTAAAGGAAACTAAGAACTTATAGACAAAAATGTCAGTAAGAATGAAATTAGATTAAGTACATGTTTTATCAAAAAAAAGAGTATACAATAAAATTGAATGAAAATTTATGGCTAACTTATACAAAGATCAAAACTTATTAACCCAGAGATACCAACATGGGTACTTAATTCAACATTAAAATTGCTGAAGATTGAAAATGAAATAGTATTATAACCAAAGTGCTTTTAAAATCTGGGGATGGAGTAGAATCTAAATTATAATTTCATCTCATTAGACACAGATGGATTCAGACATGCTTATAGAATATAATGGTAACATTTAGTCCAAAGATCAAGATAAATATCTTCCAAATTATGGTGAAAGGTGATGAACTTTTAGAAAAGGATTTAGTCACAAGGCCACAAGGAGCATTAAGGAATAACAGAGATATGAAAACTCACTGGGAACGTATATCAATATAAAAGATTATTTATTACCTCTAAGGATTTTTGTGTTTGTTTATAGCAAATATTGACACATGGAGAATATTAAAGTGGCAGCTAAATTAATGTAGCAATAACAATAAAAAAGCAATGGATGGGGTATAATGTATAGTACTGTGACTAATAATTAATAATACTCTATTGCATATTTGAAAGTTTCTAAGGAACAGTAGATTCCAAAAGCTCTCGTCACAAAAAAAATTGCAATTGCACTATGAATGCTGACAAATGCTAACTAGATTTATTGTGGCAGTCATCTAGCAATATGAACAAATATTGAATCATTGTGCTCTACAGCAGCGATGAATACATTTTATATGTCAACTGCAGCTTAGATTCTTTGTTTAAAAAAATGAAGAGAACACTATGAATGATAGACAGATTTGACAAACAAAATTAATAAACTCTTTCCCCAAAATATATCACACGTATCTAAAGAACTGGGGGATTCACAGGGGGATCACTGGGTAAAGAATCCATCTACAATGCAGGAGATTAGATTCCAGGATGGTGAAGATCGCCTGGAGGAGGGAATTGCAACCCACTCCAGTGTTCTTCTCATACTGTTCATAGGGATTGGAAGGATTGGGGGTGGGAGGAGAAGGGGACGACAGAGGATGCGATGGCTGGATGGCATCACTGACTCGTAGGCATGAGTTTGAGTAAATTCTGGGAGTTTGTGATAGACAGGGAGGCCTGACATGCTGCAATTCATGGGGTCGCAAAGAGTCGGACATGACTGAGTGACTGAACAGAACTGAACTGAACCAGTGTTCTTGCCTGGAATAGATAAATAAAAATTTAAATTAATAGATATATATAAATTTAATAAATGTATAAATATTTATATAAATATATATATTTAAAGAATGATACATTAAGCTCTATGAAACAGAAAATTTTGGTCAAAAATACTCAGAGAAAATGAATCTAGAAAAATGGTACAGATGAAGCTGTTTGCAAGGCAGAAACACAGACATAGAACAAACATATGGAAACTAAGAGGGAAAACGTGATAAGATGAATGGGGAGATTGAGACTGACATATATACATATATATTTTTTTAACACAAAGAAAAAGAGAAGTATTCTCTAATTCTGCTAGAATAAATGTGAAGTGTGATACATTGGGGAAACAACTTGAAGAGAGCTGTAAACGTTAAAAACAGATATCCTGTAATTCAGGATTCCTCGGTCTCTGCACTACTGGATATTCTGAGCCAGGTCATTCTCTGTAGTGGTATCTTTCCTGTATATTCTAGGATATTTATAAGGATCCTTGCCCACCACCTACCTCATCCCAGTGTGATAGTGAAAAATGTCTATGGGTGTAACCCCTGGAGGAATTACTCATCCCTGGTTGAGAAGCACAGTTTTAAGTGAATAATATCAAATATATGTAAATCTGTGCTATAATAGCAATTTGTTCAAAAATAATATGACAGACCCCCAGATATGTGAGTATCATAGCCACACTGTGAAATATTATACAGACACTAAAATAATGAAACAGAATTATATTAATTGATTGGAAGCAAGTTCCTAAGGTATTATTGATTTTAATAAATAGAGAGGAACAAACAGCAGAAAAAAAGACCTCACTGAAACATAAAGAATATTTATGAGGTACACAGGATTGTGTTCAAGCCTTTGTGCAAACATGTGTGAATTTGTGTAAGTGCATAATTTAGAACAAGAAGATTTAAAGGAAACTAAGAACTTATAGACAAAAATGTCAGTAAGAATGAAATTAGATTAAGTACATGTTTTATCAAAAAAAAGAGTATACAATAAAATTGAATGAAAATTTATGGCTAACTTATACAAAGATCAAAACTTATTAACCCAGAGATACCAACATGGGTACNCATATTGCTATATTTAAAATGGATAACCAATGAAAACCTATTGTACAGCACATGGAACTCTGGTCAATATTATGTGCCAGCCTGGATAGGAGGGAGTTTTGAGGGAGAAAGGATAAACGTATATGTATAGCTGATTCCCTTCACCGTTCACCTGAAACTATCACAATATTGTTAACTGGATATATCCCAATACAAAATGCTTTTAGTGTTAAAAAATAAAAAAATTAAATTAAAAAGTAATTGCAAAGTGAAGCTCATTAGGATACCTCTTCTCACCAATGAAATAAAGATTTTTTAATGTAAATGCTCAGAGTTGAGCAAAGACATCCAGGCATGTTCATTTCATACACTGCTCTTGCAGGAAAGTCTTTGCAAGCATTCATTGGTCTAGATCTACCTTCTTCATGTGGAAATAATAGTCTAATATATCCCATCTCACAATAAAAAAAAGTGGCCTCACTTCTCTGTATAACCTTACACAAGTGATACCCTATTTGTCTATTCCTGTTAATTATTGATCTCCGAGGATTTATGATCTACTTTTCATAAAAGTATTTTACTTTTCCTGTTTATTCTTTTAATTCAACTCCCACTATTACCATTTAATTGTCAACGTAGACAATTACATTTTGGAATGCAATGCTGAATTTTATTTTTGACCATTATACATAGATACATTAAATTATTAGGAAAGCCAACAAAAGACTGTAGTGATTTCTGGTACCTGTGTATGTTAGATTGCCTCACAGGTGACCTCAGGTACATGTCCTCGGCTTCTCTCCTCACTGGTCCTCTCCTGCAGTATCTGTGGAGCTCTCAGACTCACCTGCTCGGAAACTTGGAGAGAAGGTTTCTGTGTGGCAGTCCAAATTCTCCCCTAAATAGTTGATGATGCAGCCCCAAGCTGTGTGTAATTACAAGACAAGAAGAAGAGATCAAATATGGGTTTCTCAGTGAGATTTAGGTCTGCAAAAGCAACTACATCCTGTCCAACCAAAGCGGCACAGGCTGAGGGACTGAAGCAGAGGAAATATTTACAGCTTCCTGTGTCAGTTCATTAGGCATGTCTATCCTTTGTTACTCCAACCTCTAAGTACGTGATTTCCCTTAAGAACACAGGGCTGGACAGAACAGACTCTTTATCCTGCTGATTCTCTGTTCCTAGGAGACTGCATTACAAGTTAGATGAATTCAGTTTTTATCACTCCTTCTCCTTTAACTTTCCTGCTTCCAAAACTCTAAGCCTCCCAGGACCTCATCACATCCCTGAGTTCAAATTCTCTCAAAAGTGTAATATTGAGAATTTGTCTTGACTGAGTCACATGGGTCTTCAAAGCTTTGATTGGTGGTGGGGACATAACCCTTGAAATATCAAAAAAATGCTACTCACCTCGTCAAAGACAAGGTAACTTTGTGTAATTTTTAAATATAAAAATTGGGCATTATATTATCTGGATTCATGATAGCTTTCCAAGACATTTCCCAGTTATATCAGAAGTTATGAGCTCATTTAATCCCTCATTATAAAATGTTTATAATTATAAGAGGGATATTTATATGTTGCTATGCACCATAACAGAACATAACAGGGAAGCCTGGCATGCTGCAGACCATGGGGTTGCAAAATGTGTGTCACAACTTAGACACTGAACAACAACAAGACGGGGCCAAGGTTCTCTGAGGCATGCCATTGTGTATGCTTGTAATAACAAAAGCAGCAAAACAGAAGTTAAAGCCAGAGAAACAAATCCAGAACGGAACCAAAATTAACCCTTCCAGGTTACAGGGTTACAGAAGGAGCAAATTTTCATCCACAAGGATGAGAGAATCACAATTGCTGAATCAGAGGCTTTAAGCTATGAAAAAATAGCATGCATTCACCCCCCAAGATATTTGGCCCTTTTAACATGGCTTTAAGTAAAAGCTCTTCACAGCCTGCTTTATGTTGTTGTTCCTCAAACTATAGATAAAGGGGTTCAACATAGGTGTGACCACAGTGTACATCACAGAGGCTATTGCACTTGAATGTGAGCTGTGGGCAGCAGCAGAGCTAAGGTACAATCCTAGGCTCGTACAATAGAACAAGGAGACAATGGAGAGGTGAGATGCACAGGTGGAGAATGCTTTAGACTTCCCCTGAGCAGATGAGATTCTACATATGCAGGAAACTATTTTAGAGTAAGAGTAAACAATCCCAGCAAAAGGACCACTACCCAGTAGGAAAATTGCAAGATAGATCATCATGTTATTAAAAAAGGTATCAGAACTGGCAAGTTGTATCACCTGATAGAGTTCACAGAAAAAGTGGGGAATTTCCAAATCTGGACAGAAGGACAATCGCAACACCATTAAGCTGTGTAACAAGGAATACATGGCACTCACTACCCAGGATACCAGACACAGGAGTCCGCAGAGCCGGGGGCTCATGATGACCATGCAGTGCAGGGGGTGGCAGATGGCCACATACCGGTCACAGGCCATCACAGTCAGCAGGAAGTCATCTAATGCTGCAAAAAGTGTGTAAAAATACATCTGGGCAATGCAGCCTTCATAGGTTATGGCTTTGCTCTCAGCCTGAATATTCATCAGCATCTTTGGGATTGTGGTGGAGGTGAGACAGATGTCTACAAAGGACAGGGTGGAGAGGAAAAAGTACATGGAGGTGTGGAGGTGGGAGTCTGAGATGGTGGCCAGGATGATGACCAGGTTTCCAAAAACAGTTATCAGGTACATGGAGAGGAAAATCCAAAATATGAGGGGCTGGAGTTCTGGTGCTTCTGAGAATCTGAGAAGAAGAAATTTAAAATTCTGTGTGCTGTTCCCTGGTTCCATGTGCTGGAGTTGACTACCAGGAGAAAGGAAAATAGCATAATTACTTTTCACACATACGGGCATAAGTCACATATCTGAACTACTATAATATCTATTGTGCCATCAAGAAAATGATTTTACTATTTTATGTATAGATAAGTTCTCTTTGAGAATATGTGTGCTGAATCACTTCAGTTGTGCCTGACTTTGTGTGACCGCATGGAATGCAGCCTACGAGGCTCCTCTGTCCATGGGATTCTCCGGGCAAAAATACTGGAGTGGGTTGCCATGCCCTCCTCCAGGGGATCTTCCTGATTCAGGGATCATACCCCAGGCTCTTAAGTCTCCTGCAGGTTCTTTACCACCAGCACCATCTGCTATACTCCCAATTTATCTTTGACTAGGGATTTTTGTCCCATTCTCAGCATATTTACAAAAAGGTCATATATTCTACACAGCTTTAATGCAAAATTCTTTCATGCATTTGAGAAATACATATTGAGTGCCAACCATGTTCCAAGCAATAAGTAGAGATGATAAAAAACAAAGCTCCCACAATTCAAGGATGCTGAGAGATGATGAGCAAATAAAGTATTATATAATATGTTAGGTGGTGACAGATACTATGAAAAAAACAAAGCCAGTTATGAATGAGAGAGTTGTAGGAGGTGTTCTTTTGTACTGAGTGTTCAGTTAAGGTAAGCAAACAAGAAGATATTTGAGCATTGGACTTCAAGAAAGAGAGGGAAGTATCTAGTACTGTATCAGGAGAAGGGTGTGCCTGCAGAGGGAACGGCCACTGCAAAGGATTAGAGGAAGATGCTGGTTCCACATGTTCAAATCCAAAAAGGAAGCCAGTGGGTCAGAGAATAAGAAAGAAGGGGAGTCATTAGAGATGTTGTCAGGCATGCTGAGGAACAAGGTGGCCTCGCTGCTACAGCTGAACCTTCAGTCCACAGAGAATCCCTCCTTACAAATTCTTTATTTTCTTGCAAAAATATCATGTTAATTAAGGAAGAGTACATCCTTAGTATTATACAATCTTTGACTGAATTCTGGCCTCTGAATGATAAGTTCCCTTAATAAAAAGGCCCAAGTGACTCTGATTGAAGAATTGTTCTCAATCCACAAGGTGTGAATTAACAAGAACTAACAAGAACTCCTGGGCTGTGTAACTCCATGCATTTCTCACCTATAATCAGCATCCTTAGGCCATGAGTTCTGACATCCTAAGCTGGTCAAACCAGAATATCTTTCCTGTATAGAATGTATAAATGGTACCTAGAAATTCCAGTTCATGAACTTCCAATGGACCAATAAATTTGGAGTTCTTTTTCTACTTAACCATTTTCTTCTCTATATTTAAAAAAATATTAAGAGAGAGGCAGAAAAAAAATAGAGAGGAAAGTTAAATGGGCACATAAATATTAGGGGAGAAAATATCCAATAGTCCAAATGTACCCTGAGACAATACAATGAAGAAAAGCTTCCTTGGTTTGGCAACATTCCAAATCCAGTGACATCTCCTTGATGCAAAAATTGTTTTTTTTTCCAAAGACAGAAACAGTGATATCTTTATGATATGAAATAACCTGCAGTTTGAATATCCTAAAAGAAAAATAAGCAAAAGGAATAAAGTAACAATTCAAAGCAGGAAACACAAAACACAACAAAAGTTAGGAATGTTTTATATGAAACAGCAGCAGATTTCTTTTTTCCTTGAGGCTTATCCTTATTTGTCTACTCCTGTGGTAATTATGGGCTTCTCTAATGGCTTAGCAGGTAAAGAATCTGCCTGCAGTGTAGGAGACACAGGAGACACATGTTCAATCTCTGAGTCAGGAACATCCGCTGGAGGAGGAAATGGGAACCCACTCCAATATTCTTGCCTGAAAAGTCTTGGACAGAGGAGCCTGGTGGACTGTAGTCCAAAGGGTTGCAAAGAGCTGAACATGACTGAGTGACTAAGCATACACATGAACGTTAATAAATACAATTCATAGACTTACTGCCTAATTTTACTAAAAACAGGTTATGTCTCTCATTTCTTTTTTCTAATTGAACTTCCATTAACACCATTTAATTGTCAGCATCAACACTTGCATTTCTGAGTGCAATGTTCAGTTTATTTTTTAGACAATAAATAAATATACACTAAGATAAGGAAAGCCAGTGAACGACCACAGTGACCTCTGGCCTCTGGGCTATGCTACAGGGATCTTCAGGTGACCTCAGGTACAAGTTCCTGGCTTCCATCCTCTTTCACCCTCTCCTAAAGTGTCCGTTCAGCTCTTGGACTCACCTGCCTGCAGAATCTGAGAGCAAGCTTTCTGCATAGAAGGAAAATGACTGACGATGCAGAATAAAGTTTTGTCCACAAACAAGACAACAGGAAGAAGTCTTCTAGCCAGATATAGAGCTGCAAAAGCAAGGATCACATCCTAGTCAACAGCTATGGCACAGGCTGAGGGCCTGCAGGACAGCAGGTATTTACATCTTCCTATGTCAGCTCATTAAACGTGTTTTCCTATTGTGACTCCAATCTATAAGTACGGGACTTCCCTTGGAGACACTGGTCTGGGCAGAATGGAGTTTTTCTTTTTCCTGCTCATTCTCTGTTCCTAGGAGACTGCTTTATAAGTTAGGTGAATTCAGTTTTTACTACTCCTTCTGCAATACTTCTCCTGCTTCCAAAGCTCTAAGCCTCCTAGCACCTCATCACATCCTTGAGTTCAAATTTTCTCAAAAGCATAATATTGAAGATTTTTCTTAAGTAGGTCACATGTGTCTTCAAAGCTTTGATTTGTGGTAGGGACACAATCACCAAAGCTTCTGGAAATAACTATTCCTCTCTTCAAAAAGGGGAACAACTTTTCTCCTTTAGTATAAAATCTTGGGTATTATAATCCCTGGATTCATGGTGGTTTTTCCAAGCTAATTGAGAGTTGTCTGCTTACATCACAAGTTCAGAGCTGTCATTTAGTCCTCAGTACAAAATATTTCCAATTATGAAAGAGATACTGAGCTATTATTATGCCCAGTAAACTAGATTAGCAGATTATGTGTATGGGTGTCTTAGTCACTCAGTCATGTCTGACTCTTTGCCGCCCTATGGACTGTGGCCCACCAGGCACCCCTGTCCATGGGCTTTCCCAGGTAAGAATACCTGAGCTTCCATTCCCTTTACAGCGGGTCATCCTGATCCAGGGATTGAACCTGGGTCTCCTGCTTGCAGGCAGATTTTTTTCCCATCTGAGCCACCAGTGAAGCCCTTGCATATTATAGAGATTGACAAATTTAATTTTAAAACCAGTGTATTCTATGAAATAGTGCTTTTATGAGCATCATTTTCTATAGTCAAAATAGGACTCAGTGGGATTTAATGTTCTACTCAAAGGTATAAACCAAGTAAGGGATGGAATCTGATTGGAAACCCTCAGTTCTGGAGCTCTGGGGCAGTGATTCAATCTGAGAAGATTTAGTTCTTGGAATTATTTTGCAGTATCTGAAAGGATGCTGCTAATGTTCTATAAACCACAGAACATTAGCAGCATTAGTTGGAGACAACTCTTGAGAGTCCCTTGGACTGCAAGGAGGTCCAACCAGTCCATCCTAAAGGAAGTCAGTCCTGGGTGTTCACTGGGGGGACTGATGCTGAAGCTGAAACTCCAATACTTTGGCTACTTGATGTGAAGAACTGACTCATTGAAAGACTGAAGGTGGGAAGAGAAGGGAACACAGAGGATGAGATGATCAGATGGCATCACTGACTCGATGGACATGAGTTTGAGTAAGCTCCAGGAGTTGGCGATGGACATGGAAGCCTGGCATGCTGCAGTCCATGGGGTCACAAAGGGTCAGCCACGACTAAGCGACAGAACTGAACTGAACAGCACCCAATGTAAACAATTATCCTGCTCCAAATCAACAGTAAGATGGTGAGAATCCCTATTCTAGATCAAAATATTTCTAAATTCACTGTACATACAAATCACACTTTCCTAAGAACACCAAAATCCAAACGTCAGTGAATAGATATAGGGCATGAAAGTGAAATATTTTGCTTAGTAATACAAAGTGTAGTTCAATGCAAATTCTGATTCACCCGGTCTCTTGTCGACCCAGGGACCCTGTTTCTGACAAGCTCCCAGGTGTTGTTGATGCTGCAGGTCCAGGTCTGTGAATCATGCTTTGGGTAGCAAGAAAGTGGTTCTGTGTTGGAGTCAGGTATACACAGTTTTGGGCTTCCCTCGTGGTTCAGACGGTAAAGAATCTGCCTTCAGTGCTGGAGACCTGGCTTTGATCCCTGGGTCGGGAAGATCCCCTGCAGGAGGACATGGCAACCCACTCCAGTATTCTTGTCTGGGGAATTTCATGGCCAAAGGAGACTGGTGGGCTACAGTTCACAGGGTCACAAAGAATCAGACATGACTGAGTCACTAACAATTTCACTTTCACTATTCAGTTTAATCTTCTTCACCAAAAAAATTTTATATATATAATTTTGAAAAAGTTTTTCAATTGCTTTATAGGTGATTACACAGAACTTATCATTTTAAACACAGCAACCAATCTTTTATCCTAATGAGAATAGGACACTTTCCTAAGAACACCAAAATCCAAACGTCAGTGAATAGATATAGGGCATGAAAGTGAAATATTTTGCTTAGTAATACAAAGTGTAGTTTAAATTTTCTACCTATTGACTTTTTCCCCTGACTCAAAGGCCATATTAAGTGAATGTATTCAGATGTGTTATTCTGCGTAAACTCCGCTTGGAAATCTGTAGTTGACTAACACTTGCCAGTAACTAGGGTAAGTACTGTGGACACCAGTAAATAAGAGAACAGGATCCTAAAGAAAAGATAAACCTGAATAACCACCTCTAAAGCAAACTATAGGTTAAAGTCTGCATTGTCAAG